AGGATCGAATGAGCAGTAAAGGATAGAAAGAGCAGTAAAGGATAGAATGAGCAGTAAAGAATAGAATGAACAGTAAAGGATAGCATGAGCAGTAAAGGATAGAAGGAGCAGTAATGGATCAAATTAGCAGTAATGGATATAATGAGCAGTAAAGGATAGAATGAACAGTAAAGGATAGAATGAGCAGTAAAGGATAGAATGAACAGTAAAGGATAGCATGAGCAGTTAAGGATAGAAGGAGCAGTAATGAATCAAATTAGCAGTAATGGATATAATGAGCAGTAAAGGATAGAATGAACAGTAAAGGATAGAATGAGCAGTAAAGGATACAGGGAGAAGTAGAGGATATAGTGAGCAGGAAAGGATAGAATGAGCAGTAAAAAATACAGTGAGCAGTAAAGAATACAGTGAACAGTAAAGAATACAGTGAGCAGTAAAGGATACAGTGAGCAGTAAAGGATACGGTGAGCAGTAAAGGATACAGTTAGCAGTAAAGGATACAGTGAGCAGTAAAGGATACAGTTAGCAGTAAAGGATACGGTGAGCAGTAAAGGATACGTTGAGCAGTAAAGGATAGAATGAGCAGTGAAGGATAGAATGAACAATAAAGGATAGAAGGAGCAGTAAAGGATAGAAGGAGCAGTAATGGATACAGTGAGCAGTAAAGGATACAGTGAGCAGTAATGGATACGGTGAGCAGTAAAGGATACGGTGAGCAGTAAAGGATATGGTGAGCCGTAAATGATACAGTGAGCCGTAAATGATACAGTGAGCAGTAAAGGATATGGTGAGCAGTAAAGGATACGGTGAGCAGTAAAGGATACAGGAGCAGTAAAGGATACGGTGAGCAGTAAAGGATACAGTGAGCAGTAAATGATACAGGAGCAGTAAAGGATACAGGAGCAGTAAAGGATACAGGAGCAGTAAAGGATACAGGAGCAGTAAAGGATACAGGAGCAGTAAAGGATACGGTGAGTCGTGAAGGATACAGGAGCAGTAAAGGATACGGTGAGTCGTGAAGGATACAGGAGCAGTAAAGGATACGGTGAGCAGTAAAGACTACGGTGAGCAGTAAAGAATGCAGTGAGCAGTAAAGACTACGGTGAGCAGTAAAGAATGCAGTGAGCAGTAAAGAATGCAGTAAGCAGTAAAGAATGCAGTGAGCAGTAAAGACTACGGTGAGCAGTAAAGAATGCAGTGAGCAGTAAAGACTACAGTGAGCAGTAAAGACTACGGTGAACAGTAAAGACTACAGTGAGCAGTAAAGAATGCAGTGAGCAGTAAAGACTACAGTGAGCAGTAAAGAATGCAGTGAGCAGTAAAGAATGCAGTGAGCAGTAAAGAATGCAGTGAGCAGTAAAGACTACAGTGAGCAGTAAAGAATGTAGTGAGCAGTAAAGACTACAGTGAGCAGTAAAGACTACAGTGAGCAGTAAAGAATACAGTGAGCAGTAAAGACTACAGGGAGCAGTAAAGAATGCAGTGAGCAGTAAAGACTACAGTGAGCAGTAAAGACTACAGTGAGCAGTAAAGACTACAGTGAGCAGTAAAGACTACAGTGAGCAGTAAAGACTACAGTGAGCAGTAAAGACTACAGTGAGCAGTAAAGACTACAGTGAGCAGTAAAGACTACAGTGAGCAGTAAAGACTACAGTGAGCAGTAAAGACTACAGTGAGCAGTAAAGACTACAGTGAGCAGTAAAGACTACAGTGAGCAGTAAAGACTACAGTGAGCAGTAAAGAATACAGTGAGCAGTAAAGACTACAGTGAGCAGTAAAGAATGCAGTGAGCAGTAAAGACTACAGTGAGCAGTAAAGACTACAGTGAGCAGTAAAGACTACAGTGAGCAGTAAAGACTACAGTGAGCAGTAAAGACTACAGTGAGCAGTAAAGAATGCAGTGAGCAGTAAGGACTACAGTGAGCAGTAAAGAATGCAGTAAGCAGTAAAGACTACAGTGAGCAGTAAAGACTACAGTGAGCAGTAAAGACTACAGTGAGCAGTAAAGACTACAGTGAGCAGTAAAGAATGCAGTGAGCAGTAAAGACTACAGTGAGCAGTAAAGACTACAGTGAGCAGTAAAGACTACAGTAAGCAGTAAAGACTACAGTGAGCAGTAAAGGATACAGTGAGCAGTAAAGAATGCAGTGAGCAGTAAAGAATGCAATGAGCAGTAAAGACTACAGTGAGCAGTAAAGACTACGGTGAGCAGTAAAGACTACAGTGAACAGTAAAGACTACAGTGAGCAGTAAACGATACAGTGAGCAGTAAAGGATACAGTGAGCAGTAAAGACTACAGTGAGCAGTAAAGAATGCAGTGAGCAGTAAAGACTACGGTGAGCAGTAAAGAATGCAGTGAGCAGTAAAGACTACGGTGAGCAGTAAAAAATGCAGTGAGCAGTAAAGGATACAGGACCAGTAAAGTATACAGTGAGCAGTAAAGATACAGTGAGCAGTAAAGGATACAGTGAGCAGTAAAGAATACAGTGAGCAGTAAAGGATACAGGAGCAGTAAAGGATACAGGAGCAGTAAAGGATACAGGAGCAGTAAAGAATACAGGAGCAGTAAAGGATACAGGAGCAGTAAAGGATACAGGAGCAGTAAAGAATACAGGAGCAGTAAAGGATACAGTGAGCAGTAAAGAATACAGGAGCAGTAAAGGATACAGGAGCAGTAAAGATACAGTGAGCAGTAAAGGATACAGGAGCAGTAAAGGATACAGTGAGCAGTAAAGATACAGTGAGCAGTAAAGGATACGGTGAGCAGTAAAGGATACGGTGAGCAGTAAAAGATACAGGAGCAGTAAAGGATACAGTGAGCAGTAAAGAATACAGGAGCAGTAAAGGATTCAGGAGCAGTAAAGATACAGTGAGCAGTAAAGGATACAGTGAGCAGTAAAGATACAGTGAGCAGTAAAGAATACAGTGAGCAGTAAAGGATACAGTGAGCAGTAAAGGATACAGTGAGCAATAAAGAATACAGTGAGCAGTAAAGGATACAGTGAGCAGTAAAAGATACAGTGAGCAGTCTTCTTCTTCTTTCGTTCGCCTGAAATAAGTTATCTATATCAGCAGTTTTGTCTCTTGTATAAATTTCACTGTCGTTGATAGTTCATTCAGTGGTCCATAGAGTTTACGTTCCACTGTTGTTCTTTCTGGCCAAAAGGTTTGCCTTAATGTGTCAAATTCGGTGCAGTCCTGGAGTACATGCTCTGCGGTCTGGGGCACATTTCCACAGGTGCACATGGCTGATACACCTATCTTGAATTTTGTGTACATGTGGTTACGTAATCGGTTGTGCCCTGTTCTGAGGCGGAAGATAATGACTTGTTCTGGTCTGTCCATAATAAAATAGTCGTCTTGTGCTGGGGCTGGTGGTTTCCTGATCGATTTAATGATTCTTTTCTTTTGGTGGTATGTGACTGGTACATCTGGCTGCTCTTTTTTTTCGCACCTTCCCCTGCCAGTTGATCAGCTTTCTCATTTCCAGGCACTCCACAATGAGACGGTATCCACTGCATTACGACTCTTCGCTGAACGCTGAGTTGTGTCAGCAGTGTTTGCAATTCTGGTAGTTTCCTAGACTGGAGTGCTTCAAGTACTGATTTAGCGTCTGTAAGCATTACCACATACTGTGAGCCAAGGTTGGTATTTAGCAGTTTCTCTGTAGCTATCTTAATAGCCTGGGTTTCTGCATCGTAGTTATGGCAGTACTTCCCGGTTGGTACGCTGGACTTATCCCTAGTACCATCTGGGAATTCGATGTACACTCCAGCACCACCATTTCTAACTGCACTTTCTGCGGACCCATCTGTATAGACTCTGACCCATTGTTCTTGTGGGTATTCTTCATCAATATAACTGAGGGTGGCCATTTTGCGTTGTACACTATCTTGCTCTTTCTTGTCAAATATCCCTTTCACATTTGTCTGGATTTGTACCGTTAGTTTACATTTTTCTCTCCATGGGGTTTGTTCCGGAATACTTTTTAGTGGGCAGCCAATTTCTGGAAGGTCAGGAGTTTGTCTACATATTCTTTTTTGCTTGGTGTATAAAGCTGCTTCTTTTTAACCGTCCCAAGGCTAGGTTCTTAAATCTATTTTCCATCGGGTGATCTGGCATACTGAGGAACTTTTCAGCTTGTATTTGCAACTTTGTATCTCTGCGTTCTCTCAGTGCCTGTGTTTTCCCAGCTTTCTCCATTTCTAATATGGGGGTTGATTTCATCCCCCCTGTGATGACTCTGAGCGCTTGATTTTGCACTTTGTCTAACTCCTTTAATGTGGTACTAGATGCTGAACACCATGCAGTTGACCCATATTCCAAGTGTGGAAGTATGCTCTGCTTGTATACTTTATTGAGTATTTTCCCATCTGCTCCCCATGTGGTTCCACTTAGTTTTCTTAGTATTGCTGTCTTCCTCCTGGCTTTGGTTGCTGCCTTGTTGATATGTTTTTCTCCATGTCAACCTGTCATCAAATGTGACTCCTAGGTATGTGGGCTCTTTATCATCTCTCAGGGGTATTTCGTTTATTTTGATGGTGCCGGCTTTTTGCTTTGGGGAGAGGGTGAATAGTGTGGTGCTACATTTGTCTGTGTTGATGCTGACACACCATCTATTGGCCCATGCCTCAAGTGCATTTGTAGCCCGCTGTAGTGTTTTTGTGGCTATCGTTGCATGTTCATTGGTGCACCACAGTACCAGGTCATCGGCGTACATTGCCATTTTGATTCCATTTGGTATCTCAGCAACTAGATCGTTGATAAATAAAAGGAAAAGTGTGGGCGACAGGACACCACCTTGAGGGACGCCTTGTCGCAGTAGAACTTTTTTACTTTTAAAACCATCTACCTGTACCCGGGCTCTTCTGTTATGTAGATATGCTTTAATCCAATTGTACATTTTTCCATTTATTTTATAGTTTCTCAATTTCTTCAAAAGCCCCTCCTTCCAAACCTTATCAAAAGCTTTCCTTAAATCTATCCATGCCGCGAGTACCAGTTTCTTATCTTGAAAAGCATCCTCTATTTCTTGGGAGAGGTATGTTGTCTGGTCTTCCGTAGAATAGAACTTTCTAATGCCTGCCTGCTGTGGTGTAATGATGTTTTCACTTTCAATGTACCACTGTAGTCTGAGGTTGGTGATGCGCTCCATTGTTTTACAGAGACAACTTGTGAGGCTGATTGGTCTGTAGTTGGAGGCATTAGAACTGTCTTTCCCAGGCTTTATGAGGGGTATCATAATTGCCTCTCTCCAGATCTGTGGAACATTCCCTGTTGCCCAGCAAGCATTAAATATCTGTAAAAGCTTTGTTTTGGCTACTTTTCCTAAGTTTCTGATCATTTCGTTTGATATACCATCTGCTCCTGGTGACTTCCGCATTTTCAGCTTTGAAATGGCCAACTCCAGTTCATTAAGTGTAATTGGCACCTCTAGCGCCTCTGATGTTATTTCTTTCTGACTTCTAAATTGTGTCTTTTCTTGAATTTTGTGTTTTTTCTCTGAATTGATTTCAATGTCGTTATCTAAAGCAAAAGTGTCCGCAAATAGGTTGGCTGCCTCTTTTCCTGTGACTATGTTTCCATCTTTCTGCAGCGTGATCTTTGAGTTCCACCCTGTGTCTTCATCATTAATTTGTTTCACAAGCTTCCATAACTTTCTTGTGTCTTTTTCAAAGTTCAGCGACCTTGTTTTCTCCTGCCAGCTTTCCCTTCTAACCTGCAGCTTTGCCCTTACAAATTTCGCTTTTGCATGCTGGTAGTTATTGTGATGTTCTTGGTTTGGCCTGGTCTCTGCTATCTTTCTAGATGTTTCTACTTCGTTATGTAAATTTTCTAGCTCATTACTCCAGTATGGCTTATAATGCTTACGGGCACCTCTTGGTATTGATTCTCCTGCTGCCTTTAGTACGCATTTGTTAAATTCTTTAACTACTTTGTTTATATCCTGGTCTAAGCTGAGATTTCCAAGCAGTATACTGGTACGGTGCTTGAACATTGTCCAGTCAGCCTTCTTGTAGTTCCACCTTGGCAGCGTACTAGTTTCTCTGACCTTCTCATTTTCTACATTCAGGAAGACCGGTCGATGGTCACTGCCTCCCAGCTGATTTCCAACAACTCGTTTAATGTTCCATTCCAGATCTGGAGAGTGAAATGCTAGGTCTGGGGTAGTAGTGGTGTGCCACGACCTCGAGTAGAATGTGGGTGGATCAGTTGGCCTATTAATAAGAACAAATCTGTTCTCATCCTGCCACTCCTCCAGTTTCTCTCCTCTCTGGTCTATATGGTCATATCCCCAGCTTTGCGAGTGGCTGTTAAAATCTCCACATAGAATCATCTTTTCTTCCACTGAGATTGTGTCTAAAGCCTGGGGACGATCATTTGGGCAGTAATAATTGATCAGGTAGAAGTCTGCATTTCCAGTTTGTAGTTTCAGAATCTGATATTCTGCTCCATCCATAAATACTTTAGTCTGGCTAGCAGTGATATTGTTCCTCACAAGAGTCAATATTCCACCCTTTTTCCTGCCTTTCCGGTCTGATCGGGAGCAATGATAACCTCTGATTTTGAAGACTGTGTTCAGTGAGGTGGGTTTCCTGTAGACAGCATATATGAATCTGTTCCTCATTTAGAATATTTTCTAACTCTAGCTTTTTATTTGTAATCCCCTCTGCATTCCAGTGCATTAATTTGACTCCTTTCTTAGTTCGGCCAGATGCTCTATTCTCACGTCCCCTGGCTCCACAGGACATTTGAGAAGGACCAGTAAAGGATACAGTGAGCAATAAAGAATACAGTGAGCAGTAAAGGATACAGTGAGCAGTAAAAGATACAGTGAGCAGTAAAGATACAGTGAGCAGTAAAGGATACAGGAGCAGTAAAGAATACAGTGAGCAGTAAAGAATACAGTGAGCAGTAAAGATACAGTGAGCAGTAAAGATACAGTGAGCAGTAAAGGATACAGTGAGCAGTAAAGGATACAGGAGCAGTAAAGGATACAGGAGCAGTAAAAAATACAGTGCGCAGTAAAGGATACAGGAGCAATAAAGGATACAGTGAGCAGTAAAGGATACAGGAGCAGTAAAGAATACAGTGAGCAGTAAAGGATACAGGAGCAGTAAAAAATACAGTGAGCAGTAAAGGATACAGGAGCAGTAAAGGATACAGTGAGCAGTAAAGGATACAGGAGCAGTAAAGGATACGGTGAGCGGTAAAGGATACAGGAGCAGTAAAGGATACAGGAGCAGTAAAGGATACGGTGAGCGGTAAAGGATACAGGAGCAGTAAAGGATACAGGAGCAGTAAAGGATACAGGAGCCGTAAAGGATACAGTGAGCAGTAAAGGATACAGGAGCAGTAAAGGATACGATGAGCGGTAAAGGATACAGGAGCAGTAAAGGATACGGTGAGCGGTAAAGGATACAGGAGTAGTAAAGGATACAGGAGCAGTAAAGGATACGGTGAGCAGTAAAGGATACAGGAGCAGTAAAGGATACGGTGAGCAGTAAAGGATACGGTGAGCAGTAAAGGATACAGGAGCAGTAAAGGATACGGTGAGCAGTAAATGATACAGTGAGCAGTAAAGGATAGAGGAGCAGTAAAGGATACAGTGAGCAGTAAAGGATACAGTGAACAGTAAAGGATACAGTGAACAGTAAAGATACAGTGAGCAGTAAAGGATACAAGAAGATGGATTGAAGCAGTCACTGACACCTTGAGACTGCATAACATCACGGCATATCAAGCGACTATGCGCGCCCCGGCTCGGCTGTCGTTCTTCTGAACTGCGACGCCTAGCGGCATAAGCAGATATTAACAGAAGAAGAAGAGAACGCTGGTACATCTACACAAACAAAGCCAAACTTTACATATATTCATTTTATTTTGTGTAGATACCGATTATCTTTCCCCGTCTTCACCGAGTGCAGGTATAGATTTACGATCATACACTTCCTGTGTCTCTCTCTTTTATCTTTCTATAAAAATTCAGATCTAGCAATATACCCGATGAGACAAAGACATGAAAAGGTTAATTGACTTGACTGTATTACTTACTATTTTCCCATGACTGTGATTGCACTGGAAGCAGCTGGTGTATCTGGACAGATTTGAGATCCATTACGCAAATAAGACAAGAGACAAAGCAAGATAATGTAGCCAGTTTATTTTTAGAAAGTTGCACTGGAACTACATTGGCCTTGCACTCAGAATGGAAAAGCCGTCGTATTCACACCGGAAGGGAACAGAAAACTGGGAAGACCAAGAGAGACCCTCCGTAGAAGCAGCATTAGAAAGGAATCAACCATCGGCCCAAAGAACATCCAAGACCTAAAACAGGTGGCAACGAACCGCCGGACATGGAGAGCTATGGCTTGTGCCCTATGCACCACATTAGGCTCAAAAGGAAATTCTTCTTCTTCTGCGTTCGACATCAGTCGTGCTAAACATTGAGTCCCTTCTGGGTCACAAATAGGATATCAAAAGGAAATAATAACTAAGTAACAAGCTAACTGCGGTATCACCGCTGGTTGTCATGTTGTTGGGAAACGAGAAACTCCAGCATTAGAAAAAGTTTGCACAAACCATAATTACATCAGAGATATCAGTGTGTGAAACCAGACAAGTGTTCCTTTTTCTCGAGGATCGATGCGCTACACATGACTTTATCATATTTATCTTTATCTTCTTTGTTTTCCCTCGTTCTTCTCGTTCATCATTATCATCATCATCTTCGCTTTTTGCTTTTTTATCATCTTCTTTTTCTGCCTCATCATGGTTATTTTCTTTTGCTTCATTTTCATCTTTTTCAGCTTCTTCTTCATATTTTTTTTTCTCCTAATATATCGTCTTCATCGTCAGCATCATCATCATCTTTTACCTCTGCTTCTTCATAATTATCTTCCTCTTCTGCTTCATCATCATCATCTTCTTAATGATCATCATCATTATTTTCTTTTTCTTCTTCTTTTTATTATTATTTTTTTTCTTCTTCTTCTTCTTCTTTTTCTTCTTCTTCTTCTTCTTCTTCTTCTTCTTCTTCTTCTTCTTCTTCTTCTTCTTCTTCTTCTTCTTCTTCTTCTTCTTCTTCTTCTTCTTCTTCTTCTTCTTCTTCTTCTTCTTCTTCTTCTTCTTCTTCTTCTTCTCCTTCTTCTTCTTCTTCTTCTTCTTATTCTTCTTCTTCTTCTTCTTCTTCTTCTTCTTCTTCTTCTTCTTCTTCTTCTTCTTCTTCTTCTTCTTCTTCTTCTGATTATTATTATTATTATTATTATTATTATTATTATTTTTTTCCCTTTGTTTTCTTTTTCTTCTTTTTCTAATGTTTCATTAATCATTGTCGTCGTCATCATCATTATCATAGTCACCATAATAATCTCTTTCTTTTTCGTCGTCTTCTTCTTTTTCTTTTTATATTTCTCTTGTCAGACTTACAGAAAATGGAACAAAGGAGAAACAACACGCCCATTTATTATTGTAACTAGAAATTGCAACACTTATCAAAGGAAAATACAAGTAATTGTGGAGAGAACAAACTAACGGTAAACATCCACAAGACCCCCATCAGCAAACTCAACAGAAAGCAACATAATTTTATGTCTACGAAAAGGATACTGCAGGCTCAACTACCACATGCATAAAATAAAGAATGTACCTGTCAGACAGGTTCACAAACAACTAAGCAGATTCTGCAGACCTGCCCACTCTTACCTAAAACTTCGAAAAACACGTGACCTCAAGAGCAAAGTGTGCAGAGCAAGCTATGGGCAACTATGAAGGACCTGCAGCTGACATGCGAGTTCATAGAGGCAACCCACCTGATGGTCTAATATGAGCATACGAAACCGAACTCAACGAAGAAGAATATTAGCGCTAAACGAAACGGCATCAATATAAAAAATTAAAGCAAATTCGTAGCGTTCTAGCATTGTTTTCTTTATCATATCTCCCCCTGCAGCCGCTGCAAATTATGTACAACCGCACGAGCGGTATAATTTGTTGGGGAAATAACGCTGTTTGTGGCTGTGTTTAGCTTGAACCCATTTCTCTGTTGTTGCTGGCGGGAATGTTGTTACGCTCTGTTATCTGAGCATGGTAACAAGCCGCCATATTTGCATTTCTGGTGTCTACTCCTCCTGAGTGTCATTGTCACTCTGTGTTTTTATTGCAATAATGTGTTCCCCTCCGCCCCCCCCCCTTCCTCCTAATATGGATTATGAGGTCCAGTTGTCTGGGGAAAGGGGGTGATTGGGGTGGGGGAGGACGGGGGGTTAGGGAAAGGGTGAGTGAGAATATAAGGGGATAGTAGCCCACTGCCTCATAATAATAGTCAGGTTATAAACGACGTCTAATTAAGGGTTTGGTGAAATCAGATGAAAAGTGCCGTCTACGAACAGGACACTGCAGGCTCATACCACATGCATAAAATAAAGATTGTACAGCCCCCACTGTGTGCATGTCAAACAGGACCACAAACACCTGAGCACATTCTGCAGACTTGCCCACTCTACCTGCAACTTCGATAAGACACCTGGCCTCGAGAGCAAAGTGTGCAGAACAAGCTATAGAGAACCATGAAGGACCTGCAGCTAACATGCGAGCTCATAGAGGCAACCCATCTGATGGTCTGATCTGAGCATACGAAACCGAACGCAAAGAAGAAAGAAGAAGAAGATGAAAAGAATATCGTCGAATGATCGAAAAACAGACGAGGTAGTAATCCCCTAGACAGCTGAAACCTGTATAGTAAATAAAAACGCAAAAGTAAACATGCCTTTAGGTGCATCAAGCATATGGGAAAAGCACCCATAATTTTACAGACCAATCGGCACTGGGTGGGTAATGTGGTCAACATTACGCCGGCCGTCTTTACTTCCCCATGTCGTACATCTTGGTACCCATTTTAGGCTGGGTCGATCTGCGACGCCCCATACCATGATAACTGTCCACGCAGCCAGCTCTGGGTTTCAGTCGCGGTCCGTTGTATTTCTGCTGAGAAACAATAGACCCGGCTGCTTCGAGATACCAGCTAAGTGGTTTTTTGTTATGTGTAGTATTGTTTCTTTTGTATGTGCTGATGAAAGCTCAATAACCGCAACGTTCACGTTTTGTTTGTATTTGTTAAATTTTAAAGCTAGCTTATATACTTTTCGTTCGGTTTTATATCTTTTCTTGTTGTATTTATGAGTCGAACTCCCAGCGTCTAAGCCACGGAAGCGCGCTGAAACCTGTAATATGATCAGGGGAAAAAACCTGACAGATACAGTCAGTATTTGTGGATACATGAAAAGGCATGGAGCAGACAACCTGATTATTAAAGGCACTTGTGAAAAAAGGTCGGCT